TAAAACTGTGTATTAAGAACTACTTTATTTCTAATAGTTAAAAATTTGTTTTCTTACAGATGGTATTAACAAAAATTGACAAATCTTCCAAGGGACATCTTTTAAAACAAGTGCTTCAGATACAGAAATTTGTTAACACACAAACACAAGGATGTTTTCCTCAATTATTTCCTATAAGGTAAGAGTTGAATTTTTATAACTTTACATACTAAAAACTTATAATATTAAATCAGTGTTTCTTAAATTGAAGTGTCACTTAAAATTAGAGGCTTTTTGAAAGACTGCATTTAGCCATGAATTGTTGGTATAATGTTAGTACTTTTATTTTTTTCCCCTTTATTCCTTCTTCCTTCTACTGTTCCTTGAAGGCACTTCATTCTCTGTCTGCCTCAACCTAGCTCAAGCCTAGACCACAGCAGAAGTGAAAACTTGGTATTTTTTAAAATCAGCTAAACAGCCACAGTAAAAATGCTACCATCCCTTTCTTAAGTTCAAAGAAAAATAACTTATCTTTATAGTAGAAAGCTCATTCAGGCTTTGAGGGATAAAAATTTTCCTTTAAAAGGACCATAATTTTCCTTTAAAAGAACCACATAGAAAGAAAACACGTTTCACAAAAGTCGGAATTAAATATTGCTGGCAGACAGAATGATTATTTTCTGAGCTGGTGATTTTTTGAGACATTATGACTTGGTTTAGTGACAAAGCATGGGTTTGTACTTCCATTGTATACCTTGGGTACAGTAAGTAATGTGTACTATGGCAGAAATACAGTGTCACTCTCTGAATTTCTTACTCTGACTTCATTGTGGAAGGTACTATGCTAGTTGCTATGAGAAGATAATGAAACCAAGTGGCACTTCGTTAAATATGAAACTGTTCCTTAAGCTGTCATATTAAGTCCTACCAATCTCGATCAGATTTAAATTGTAATTATGAACATGCCAGGCAGAATCCCTCCTTCATTCCTATAAAATGCTCTTCTCCCTTGATTTACATTCAAGTATTTATCCTGTTTGTCTGTCTTTGTCCCACATATGCAATGAGAACTCCTAGGGATGGGAGTGAAATCCTAATTCTTTGAGCCCTGAGCATTGTCATATAAAAATAGCTATTTATTTCTTTTAACTGTTTAATAAGAAGGAAGTGAGACTTCAGCAACAGAAACATAAGATGGGCAAATCGTGGCTTAACAGCAGCATGTGTTGAAAAAAACTTTAAGCTGTAGTTGACTGTAAGCTAAGTTTGAATTAACAGTAAAATGTGGCTGGGGAAAAACTGACAGTGTTTTCTTGGGCTACATTAATGGAATTATGGTGCTCAAACAAGGGAATGGTCAAGCAACAGTCCCACACTGGAATGGTCACTCCAGTGAGATTGTGGCTCGACATTAAGAACAACTAGAGCTATTTTGGGAGAGGTTCTGTTACTAGATTATTCAAAACAATTAATCCTCACAGTAACATCCCTATTTCACAGATAGGATTACAAGTCAGGGAAGTTAAGTGAGTTGCAGAGAGGTATTTGCTGAAATAGAAAAAGCACAGGCCTTAGGGTCAGACTGCCACGGTCTTACGTGGTTCTTCTACTTCCTGGCTTCTGAATTTAAAGCAGTTTATTTCGTTTTCTTTGAGCCTGTTTCCTCACTGGTAAAAATGTGATTAGAAGGATTAAATAAAATGTACTGTGACTGGTATACCCATTAGGCCCATAATAATGCTAGTTTCTTTACCTGCCAAAGGTCAGAGACTCGGTACATGACAGGGTTGGGCCTATGCCCCAGTTTATCAGTTTCCTGGTAATTTTTAGAGACATTTCCTTCCTTAGATATGCCAGCATTCCCTGTTATATGACCCTGAAATCACTGCTGGCACCATACTCACCATAGGTGGCCAAGGCACTGCAGAAGGCTACACAGCACTCAAAAATCTAAGAATTGAGACAGTGGGGGTGTACTGGCCCTCAAGACCTTCAACATTCACTCGCTATACCACAGTGACTGTATAATAAGTTGACAGGCTGTACTCTCAGCTCTCAAAACCCAATGCAGGAAGCACAGTTATATATACTTCTTGCTTTTACTTGCATGACCAAGCCCCAGGCCATCTCTCCAGAAGGGAATTTTGCCTATTCACAAAATGGTTATTATAAAATAAGTCAGGTTTTATTTCCTTCTCTTACCTTATGCTGTTGGTAGGAGAAAGGTGAAATGTAGAGTAGACATGTAGTCCTGTGAGGTTTGGCCTTTAAGCCCATGGGCCAAAGTCGTATGGGCCAAGTGCTAATTTTCATATCTGAACTCTGCCCCAGAAGGGCAGAGAAGTATAAATTGTGCTAGAATCAGTCTATTTTTATAAATCGTATGGAAGAAATATATAAGTAGGCACAATATAATTGCTTCTGTGGTGTTCTATGTAGTGAGATTCCAAGCAGATAAGAACTAACTCGTAAGGTCAGAGAAAATTATAAAAGTTGACAAAAATGTTGCAAATGAGTTCAAGGTGCCATATGTAGTGTGTGAACTGTCCAACTGGTATGTTCTTTAAATTGTATGTGTTTAACTTCAGTTATAACCCAAGAATCATTATGTGCAATTCTCAGGCAGGCAGCTTGATCAAAGTCTAAAATGCTATAGAGAATTAGCAATATAGCAGAAAATGTTTTACCTATATATAAATCTGTAGTGTATCTGTACTATAGCCATGCCTGAGAAACCAGTGGCTGTCTCCATACTGATGGATGGTTGGTTGGATGGATGGATGCATGGATGATTGCATGTCGGAAGAAAGATAGATAAATAGTAAATACAATAATGGTGATAGTTTTTTTTAAGACTGAAAAAAGGTCTAAATTTTCAAGGTAATTAGATTTTTGTCATAAAAAGAACTAAATAGATCAAGACTTACGGAAAACAAAGCAAAATAGAAGATAGATAAAATTTGCATTTATAGAATCATGAAGGAAATGGATCAGGTAATACGGACCGTCAGATTTTAGAATCCTTTAAGAAAAGGCAAGGGGAAGATAGGAAAGGTAAAAACAGGTTAAAAGACAGTCTACTTCATATATGTAAGCACAAGAATTTGTAAATAATTTTCTTAAGAAACTTATTTTTCTTTTCTTTTCACAGTGCTGTGACATATTCTGGAATCCATCTATTGAGATGCTTCATAGCAAATATAACAGGAAATCTTAACTAATGGGGCTCCTAGTTTAGCCAAAGACACAGACAAATTCTTTATGTCAACTGGAGTTAAATACCTAGAAGAATTTCAACATTGTTTTACATGTTATGTATCTGTAACTTCCAGGATGCTCACTTCAGATTTAAAATTTGCACCTTCCCAAAGCAAGAATGAAATTTGTGCCTGGGGACAAGAAAGTATATCAATAATTGAGTTATGCTGTTCATTAGGACAGATACTAGTTGATTTTCCTGTTTTAACAAATTGACAAGCAAGAGCATATATAAGTCCATAAAATGGAAACCTATTACTACTATGTAGAGAAGGTTTGCTGTGTTAATTATTGGGCTTTTGTCTTTTTTTTTTTTTT